GTGACGCCTTTGAAGTAAAAACAGAAGTAAGACAAGGTTGTCGTCCACTATCACCGATGATCTTTCTCATTGTGGTCGACTGGACTGGATCATGCGAGAAACCGTTAGAAGCGAGGAGATGGGCATATACTGTTTGACCAATGAAAAGAGCCTAGGATATTTGGATTTCGCCGATGATGATTTGTGTCTAATGTCTAATACCGCACAAAGTCGAAGATCTACAGGCGAAAACCAACAAGTGCACAGAGGAGGCGGGGCGCGACAGCGGAGACAGGACTTCCCTCAAGTGGACGTAGAGGAGCCATAGGTGACTGACATACCCAAGCAACAACAACAAGCTCCGACCATCATCAACAGGGGAAATCTAACGGAAGTTGTCTCTTTCACCCACCTAGGCAGAGAAGCATCGTTCCAAATACAGGCGGCGGCACAGGCACGGATGAGGATGTCAAAGCCAGGATTAGAAGCACAGAAAGGCGGGCCTTCCTACATTAGCCTGAAATCAGTATGGAGATCTACTGCACTGCACTGCATTGCACTGCACTTAGCATAAAGCGTGAGCAACATCCGAATTTCCAACACTCATATCAGTCAAGCCAGTGTTTCTATATGGTTCAGAAACTTGGCGCGTTATGAAATGCATTTCTAACAAACTACAGACATTAATCAACAGCCGCCTTCGCTCGTTACTGAAGATTAGGTGGCCAGAAACAATACGCAGCAAGAAACTCTGCCTGGCTGGCTGGCAACAAACTAACCAAGAACTCATTGTCCAACAAGTATGCGGAAGAAAGTGAAGATGGATTGGATTGAACATACAGTGAGAAGACATCACGCGCCAGACCAGACCAGGTCGTCGAGTGGAACCCGCATGGGAAATGACGAGTTGGGCGTCCTTGGAGAGGGTGACACGGAGGAGATAGTGTGAGGGGAAATGAAAGCTTCTGAGCAGTCGTGAAGCTAGGTCGAAAAGACTGCAGAGAACAGAGTGCACTGGAGACGTGCTACTGAACCACTGTGTTCCATCAGGAACCCGAAGGGCAAATAATAACCATAATAGTATTACCAGGACACGTCCTATAAACGTCTCCTATCTTAGGAATGACTCTAATGGCCCTAAAGCAACCTCCGAGAAAGCGAATGACGTAACTTTATTTTACATAAAATCGCCCTACACGTTGGAGTAAAGAAACACATCTTATAGTTTCATTAGTTACTACGTTGAACATTGGAGTCACTTGAATTTGTCTACTTTCGTCAACTAGATGACCGCCAGTCAAATTATAGCCTTCCGAATCACCCATTAACCCAGCTCTTTCGAACTTTCCCTAGAAGTCATATTGATGAAGATTTGGGAGAAAAAGCCACAAGTTCGAAAAATAAGGCGTTGGTATATGACATCAACAATATTATAAAGTTTGCACAAAGTCAGTAAATTCTCGATTGCCCTCAGTAACAATGTCAGCTAAACGACGACGATTCACTTTGGTGTATCAGTCAGTTGTTCTATTTCATCCTGCATGCCCTATAACATTGTTTCTGCGTGATACTAGAAAGTTTTGTGAATATGACAAGGGAACAAAATATTGATTTTAATGTGTCCCATGAAACAGTTGGGTTCCCAAATAAGCTAAAAAAGGGACGAAGTGAGACCATCGAATTACACCAAAACACAGGCACCAGGAGAAATAAGTATATCAAAGAAATGCTCTTTAATATTTCTTTTGCCTTTCAAAGCAGTGAATTCTACATTTAGGCAGATGTATCTGTCCACTAGTGAGAATCACTACTGCTGTAAATTCAAATTTTGTGGTGATGTTGCGAAACTACATGTAACAAAGTGAAATTCATAGACCTCATAAAACAAAGTGTCATCTGCATATATCAAATGCAATGTTTCCTATCCTTTCTTGCCTACAATGTACTGCTCTCAATATAAAAGCAAAGTGTCCGCCAATACAAAGAAAACGAATTTCCGGTAGTCACACCTTTGGTCTTTTTATACTGAAAGGCATTCTCAACTGAAAATACGCGTTTCTTCGAGTATCATCACTTTAACCACCTCTATAGCCATCTGCCCACAATCCACTTTGCTCAGCATAGAGTTATGATGCATTGACTTGGAGACTCAACTTAAAATAGTGGGTGTTGGATTTGAAAGCGCTTTCCATACTTTGACTGGGGCAACCGAACAGTAATGTAAGCTCTCGCAAAACAAGACTGGCATATAGCCTAGTACAACGGTACGAACCGGATTGAGTGACATTATCATTATTACCAAATTTGTTGACATCTGAATCACAGCTTGTTCAATCTAAATTCCACTATTTATTGGTTTTTGTATTCATGCAAGTATGAAACTCTCCTAGCATTACTACTGCGAGCACTCTGCTCCACTGTGAATGATCACTTTCAGTTTGTAAGCTGTCGTAAGCACAGCATCCCGTTCAATTTCTCTGTTTGATTTATTGTGAGTTTCGTTCAGCACCTCCATCCTGCATAAATTGATCTATATACTCCATTGTGTTTTATTCACGTGTTTATTCATTCAATACAATCAAACAAATCACTTACCACTTGATTCTGTCAAACAAATTTTTAAATCGCATGCAAAATTTAGGATAAGTGCGTCTCTCAAGGACTTTAAGGCCACAAAATGAGATGAATTCACTTCATTCAGTAGTATATGCTGTTCTTCTTTTTGTGACAAAATAGTAAACTGAGGTTGACTGGACTGTGTACGAAAATATGCAAAATTGCCGTAGTAATTAACTTATGCAATTGAAAATGAAAATGTCTTCATCGATATATTTTAGCGCACTTCTGAAGTTATCTAAAAGTTAGTCCGTTGTGTATTAATGGCTTGACGCTGTTATTGTATCTTTCTTTTTAGGAATTTCAATTCTGATTTTAAATACAATTTTATACTTCATATAAATGTTGCACTTCCTTAAACATTCTACAAACTTTTGCATTTGAGAGATACTCCTATTAACTGGGTTCACCACTCACAAAGAAGGAAAACAATTTTGGCATTCATGTTTGGAAATAAGATTGTTTTGTCATTATTTCAATACTGTTTGGCCAAACGCATTGTTTTTGGTACTTAAGTGTTTGCTTTCCTTACACCTGACAGATCGTGTAAACGAGTATCAAGCAGCAAAAATTGTTTACTATTCTCTCAGTTGTTTTCAGCAATTAAACTCCAGAGAATATATTGTTTTCCTACCCAGCCCTAATCACGAATATATTTATCCCATAATTAAACTATACAGCTTCTTGTTTGAATAAAGCTGTCTAGTCAACTGTTAGAATGTCGAACTACATATCTCCTGTCAGAAGGATATTTTATTAAACAGTATGACACACTTATTTTGTGGGTGAAGCTAAAATGTAAATCAAATTTCCATAAGATGATTCTTCCAGCCAAAAAGCTGAATAAATATTATTAGAATTCACCAACTAACTTTTATTTACCCTCTGTTACCTGCAAATATTTGTCTTATTAAACAGGGTGATATTATGGTAGCTCAGTTACAACGAGAAGCATCGATCTCCCCCATCATATTAGCGTATATGAATGATACTGGGTAGGATACTTTTTAAATGTTTTCAAACTCATTACATTCATATTTTGTTCATATCAAGGTACACTTGTGATTTCATTAATGATTTGTGTCTGAGATACGGATAGACAACCATACCATGGTGTTGGAACTTAAGATTATGATAAGGAGCCGAATCACGAGGTTAGTTGATTAATACAGGATTCAAAATGATCAGAAATATGCTGTTTAGGAGTCTCAAACTAGGTATAAACAGTTGTTCACTGTTCTAAGGTTTTCACTGAATCTGCAAGTGAAATCAGTTAGTAATAAGAAATCAAGACCATCCTTGAAACAGTGAATCGTTCCTTCTTTGAACACTAAGTAAGAGTCAGGTGTATTGTTTTCTGAATCTGCAATCAATTCTAACCTTTTTGCATCTGAATCCAGAGGGTTTTCTGGATATTTACTAAATCTAATCATCATTTATGATACTGTAGCTATCAAAGTTTTCAAAAGTGTTATTTAGTGAAATTCATTAAAATTATGCAACCTTTTCTCACTTTCGTCTGATTAAAATGACATCAAACTTAAGTGGTTTAAGGCATATCTGCAATTTTCAAACTCCCTTAAAACCGGTCAAAATATGAAGTATACTACCAACAGTATATTGCTGTTTATGGAAAGAATGGTTTGTAAATCCCATGAAAGAGGTTTACTACATATAAAGCCTTATTTATTCACAATTTTGAGGATTATAATGATAAACTTTATCAATATAATTTTTCTTTAGGTTATTCACAACGTTTCCTGTCTACTTATGACGCCAATACTAATTCATCCCTGAGATGCGTCCATTCTTTCTCAACACAACACAAAATTTATTCTAAATTCAAAGGCTTATTGGAAAGACTGAAGCTTACTTCAGAAAATTTGTAAAAATATTTTAGTGTGCCATGTCTAATTAGTCTTTCAGAATAGCTTCAAGAAATACTTACTCAAATAGGAAACCTTTCAACAGATAAATGAGGATTGTCTAACTTATCAAATATAGAATGTGTTTATCTCACCTTCATTGTATTCAAGAATGAGTAAAATTCTATTTATACTAATTCATGTTTATTATTCTATCGCTCGATGACTTGCATGTTGGCTTATATACGTAGAACTGGCGATAAATCTCAAATGTATGATATTAATTATGTCTGTGAACAGTTTGTGCATGATGGAATGAATTAGTTCATTGTATCAATTTGAAATGAATATTTTCATATGATGATCAAAGTTTTAGGCTTTGATAATGTTCTAATGTTAGTTACGATAATTGTTTACACATAGATTTTATAAACATTCTTATCCAAATATCCGTCAACTGACTTATTCTGTCATGTTGATATATTTACAGTTGGTATAATGTTAACTTTCGAGAGGCCGGATCCTTGAATTACGGTAAAGGTTTAGGGTGTATCTTCGCAGCACGTAGTTGTTATGAATATATGGTCACACAGAAAGCAAGGTTAGTTTTTTCCTTTTATTTATTATAGAAATAATCCTGGTAAAAGCAGACAATTATTATTAGTTATCGTTACCATTGGCAGTAATAATAGTTAGCTAAGTATCATATTACTAATAATAGCAGATAATATTTGAGGCCTGTATCAGTATGTTCAATCTTACTTGGTTTTCATTGTTTTATTGGTCTAAAATTTCAAAGACGTATTCCTACAGATTAAACGCTTTAAATACACCTGTACGAGTTTTTAGAATTATTGCCGCCTATTGGATTAGTACTGTCCTACTTCTCAAACCCATATCTGATAATTAAACAGTAATGTCTTTTGAATTTAACATTATTTATCTCAACCAACTTAATTAACGAAACTGTATTATTTTCAGAGGGCAAAGCTATTCACCGTACTGTGATATACCATCCAGCTTAAGTTGTAGAAGTGTAAATACGTACGGAGTATGTGGTATTAGGAAGTATGCTCATACGTTATCTCCTGAGAATCAATATTTTTCAAATCCTCATCTATTCAATGACCCACAAGTCAGCCAATATGGAGGAAGTGAAAATTACATGGACTACTGCCCAGTTTTGACGGTTAGTTTTAGAAAGTTGCAAGTTGATGTCTTGAATTGTTGTTCTTCCTGTTTCACTGCAAAGGACTTCTCATTTTTTCGTAGTCTTTCTATCACCACTGCTACCTTGACAGGTTTCTTTCACAAAAAATGTTTCAATAAAATACTCACTGCATGATATGGGCCCTTTTCACGTCAAGGTATTCAAAGGGTATGCAACTGTTTACGAGTAAATCCTGTGGGTAGATTTTGCTGTTGAAGGATTTTGCAGAGAAAGGGATTTTTTTGACCAAATGGATTTTCTTACTTCAAAATATTATTTAGTTGTGGTAAACCTTTGATTTTGGCTAAGCCTTGAGCTTTTTTTTCATGTTTATCCACCTATTTGCAGCTAAACATCAAGTAGAATACGAGAATCAAACGTAAAAGTAGATATGGACATGGATAATATTAGCTATATATAGCAGAAATTAAAGCAAGTAGTTGACTGTTTGATTTTGTTCGGTTAAAGGTATGATGTATGCTACTGGAAATAACTTCATAAGCTGTGTGTGATAAATTTAGAAGTATAACTAAACCTAGTCTTGTAAAATCAAACAGCTTGATTGCACTCATCTGGCTTATGCCATCTAGAAAATGCAGCAGACTGCCACTAATCTGTAATAGAATAATTTTGAGCCCTATCTGTAATGGTCTGAATTTTACACACTGATTCATTATTCTTATACGCGTAACGTTTATCATTTGGAGCATTTTTATGACGACAGAGTTCTAAGTCGACCCCTTTCATAAGTGTATTTAGATTTCATTGCATTTGTATGGGCTTTTTGAATTTCAAGGATTTGCAGCAATATTTTGGATGTTTTTCCTCATTGTGCTAAATACGTTCAATGAGACTGACTGGGATAAAGTTAGAGAAGCAAAGAAATCATGACTAAAAATTCGAATAAAAAACTTTTCAAATTTTCACAAACATAAATAACCGCACTGACTAAACTGCTGTTACGGGTTACGCAAGCTGAAATCCATCACATAGCTGCGCATCTGGGTAACAAATATGTCTACATTGAAATATATGTAAAGTTTGTTACAAGATAGTGTTTGGTTTCTGGGAAAAGAGTATAAGCAATTGCATGAACCACAGATGTAAACAATCTCTCTATTGAAATTACTTAAAATTACTCCTCTTTTTGATTACGGTCGTGATAAAATTGATGTGTGCTGTAGTCTTGTTGCATATAAAGGGCAAAATAAACTTCCAATTATTCTTGATGAAAGTGGTCATGGCAACAGTCATAATTAAAATCAGTGCTATTGGTCGAAAAATTATGTTCATGCTTACCACTTATTATTAAAGATATGCTAATATCATAAATCTATGGGGAAAAATTATCTTATTGTTTAGTTTCATTGATGTTCATTGTTATTTCATGAAGCTGCTTATAAAAGATTTCAAGGTTTTTGCATGAGCAGTACTCAACTTTTATCACTTTTCCATGCAAATTGTGGTTCCTTTAGTCAGTAACTACGATGTTCCATCATGTTATTGCTTATTCATTCTTCCTTGTTAGGTTGTTGATTCCTTAGGAAGTTTGCCAATATCATCTATTTGTACAGATACTCAAAATCAGCAGAAACTGGGTGAGGAAAACTTTTGCCAGCATCGTGCAAATTTTGTTCTTAGTTTTTATGTACTTAAGCGGTGTTAAACACTTTTAATTTCTTTCATTATTTTGTTTGCTTTTGAGCACTGTAAATAATTATCGTAAGTTTATGTCATTTGAGAGAGATCTTATTAGACTGACCCAGATAGCTACACAGACATACACTGCGAATACCTGCACTAAAAAACACGCACAATAGTGTTTCAGAAATGAAAAGGAAAACAAATCGTTTTCATTCTTTACATGACTGAATGTTCGCAGGAAACAGCGAAATACATTATTCCGACGAAGCTCTTTTGGTTATAGTCCCGAGAAAGTAGTTTCTCTGCTAGGTGCTTGTTTTTGAATACATTTAGGATGAATTTTGCATAAAGTGGATAACACAGTAACCAGTCTATCTGTTAACATTTCTATCGGTTTATCAACGAGTGGATATCAGAAAGCACTATTAAAGCCATGTGAATCGGTAAGCAAGTTTCAAAGGGTAATTTTTTAGGAGCTGACTTTCGTGAGCTGTGAACAAAAATATGGTTACCTAATTCTCCAGAGCGCTTTATTGGTGCACGCTTTTGAAATGCATCGTTGGTTACAAATGTTCCTCCACTGTCATTCCCTGTTTAGATTTCCATAATCACATGCTACCACTCTCAAAATAATAATCAGGATCCTGCTAAGAGGATTTTTGAGGTGTTAAAAATGTATCTGCTTCCAGTGAAAGTTTTACAGGTAACTTTCCGCTTATAAAAATTTTCATCAGGATTGTGAATACATTCGAAATATATATATATATATATATATATATATATAGTTTAAGAATTTATTTGTTTTATTACGAGCTCTTGTTTAAACTCGTATGTTGATAAATATTTCAGGTTTTGGCCTTAATTTGTACATGCAGTCATTTGGCGAACGATCTGTATGTGTTGAACATTCTGGAAGTATGACTTATTCATTGTACTTTATGAATTATAATCTGGGCACCACTGTTGCCGGTTCCTGTCACTCAGTGAGTTTTATTGCTGAATGTTCAACCTTATCGTTTGTAGTGATTCACTGGACTTTATTGAAATAAACAGACTTTTTCATCTCGAAGATATGGTTGACATTTGCATATACGCAATCTCAACAAAGATCTTTAACAGTTATTTACAAAGTGAAAAGAAGCTTGAAAAAGTCAGCATGCATTTGAGCCTATCGTGTTGCTGAAACTTTTGCAATTCAAGTAGGAAAACATAAAAGACTTTTGTTCATCTCTTGCTTCTTTTGTGGTCTTAATTTTAGCATTTCACAACCCCCCCCCCCCTTAAATCATGCAATCAATCCTTTTGTAACGTATCAACAACTATTTCTTTGTAATATACTCACCTTGATAAGAATTTATTCATCAAGTTTTATGTCATATTACCGCAATCGTTATTCCAACCTTATCTTCTTGAATAAATTTATTTTATATCTTGAGTAATATTGACTTATTTAACTCTTCATTTTTAGGTCACGGCAATTTAATTTTGTGTGTAAATATGTTATTTGGTTACTTTCCAACATTCATAAAACCTGTGATGACTTCAAGGTGAAAATAGCATTTCAGTTTTTATGTGCGTTACCTTGCTCTTTGGTATTTTGTGCTTTCATACATAAATTGTGCATTCTCAACAAAGAAAGAATTTCACGTAAATGAAATCGGACAGCATAGTGAATTAAATTGCCGTAAGGGTTCTCCTGCCGCACGCTTCTTCATTCTTTTATAGATCTTCATGGCGATTTTTCACATCATGTTTAGTGCTGAAGTTTCATTAGATGATTTTTGGAAGAGTCTTTGTTAGTATCAGCAATTTTCACCTAACGTTCATTTGAAAAACATATCAAGAAGCCTAATTTAATTTGCTCAAGCCACCTGTGTGTATCAAATGGTATTCTACGGCCATTGAATATGTTTGCGACTACTCCCTTTACACGTTTTTAATTACCAGTGATTTTTTTAGAAGTAGTATTCATCATGGATTGACACCAGTTGGGGAACCATTGAAAATCTGGGAGCACTGAAGAGCTGTTTCTTCTTAGTATGGGACTCCTCAGCAGTACGCACCCACGACCCGGCTAGGGATAGAACTCAGGACCCTCAAGTTCCATGGCGGAAGCGTTGACCATTCAGCCACTGGATCGGTTCACAATTTCCAATCGGAAGTGAAGTGAATGCTAAATGAAGATCTTGGGTGATAGTCACGCTATGTCGTGAATTGGCAGAAGTTGGGAATTGTGAACCACTGGAAACCGGTCCAGTGGCTGAATAGTTAACGCGTTCGCCGTGCAACTTGAGGGTCCTGAGTCCTATCCCTATCCGGGTCGTGGGTGCGTACGGTTGAGGAGTACCACACTAGGACGAAACAGCTCTTCAGTGCTCCCAGATTTTCAATGGTTCCCCAACTGGTGTCAGTCTATGATGAATACTACTTCTACAATGAAAAAATCCCCATTTATCTCAAAAATACATTACCAATGTTTTTATCAAAAGAATAGAAGAGTTTGTACTATGGCTTACCTTATTTGCTTTGTTGTTTACAGTATAAGTGCTTACCTAATAACACTTTGGCCCTCAACTTTGCTGAACAGACGATTCTTTGTACAAGCAATGGAGTTCCTAAGCAAATTGATGTGAAAGTGCAATATAGCCGTCTGCTTGGATCGATCAAATGTCCATCTCCAGATACATTATGTGCCGCAAGCTGAAGCAGATGTAAGAGGCGATTAGATAATTAATTTCAGTTTTGTTAGCTAATCACTTCAATCTTTTAATGTGAGTATAATGATAATAGATCAGTTAGAGTTGATTGATTGATTGACAGTTAGAAATGAATTTTTTGTGAGTGATTTATTTACCCTATCCTGTGGCTATGATCATTGTTTGGTCAGTAGTTATTACATCTTCAGCCTTCACACCACTCATTAGGACAGCCATTCACGAGCTGACTTATACCATGATACATAGAAGGAAAAGCGAAGCTGCTTTCGAAGTAAAAAGAGAGTTGTAGTAGTTGAAACTACTTTTTAAAAACTAGGACTAGGCTAAAGGCTTCCTAGTTATATATGTAGGGCGCATAAAGCATGTCAGATCTACAGGCATATTCAGTTTTATTTATATGGGCAAAAAAATTACGAGCAATAAATATTAACGTGTTAGATGTACACGAATCTAGTAAGCAACAAATCTGTAAGTCTGAAAAAGAAGTTGCACAACATTTGTCAAATAACTACCATATATCTTTATATGCAACTGCTGGAGGCAGTTCTTTGAAAGCTCTAAACCTGTTATTTGATTGGCGCATCTTTGCTCCTACTGCTCATTGTTAATGATTCATTCTCATCTTGTCTCTTCTTATCTCTTTAAAACTCTTTCTCCTAATCGTTGCTCTTCTTCATGTCGATAATTTTTACTGGTATAAACTCTTAACAAAAGTTTGATATAGTTTATGACACTAGGTTCTAACTGGTTGAAAACATTTTCTGTTGTATTTTCCGCCACGATTCCACTTACCTTTCGTACATATTCACTCAGTAATCTCATAGAGTTGCAGTTAATTTCAACGTTCATTCAGGCTCACTGATTTCGATCTCTTAGATCAGTAATCTTTCACTATATATTAAAGTTCCTTGGTTAAATTAAAGTATGTACATCATATTTTAGATTGATATCAATAATGTCCAAGGTTGTAGACAGCCGGCTAAAACCGAAATATGGACCTATTCTGCTTTAGGCCTTTGGTTTATAAAAATCAATTGTTATCTAACAAAACTTATTACCTGGATCTTGCAAATATGTACCAGCGTTCACTTTTGTAAATATGAACACACCGTCTTCAGAAACAACAAGTGTGTTATGAGTCACATTTGTGAATCAACAATCCCCCCAACCAAAGGATTTGGAATATTCAATAAAAGTCATGATGGCAAACACTCATGAGAAATATTCTGCGAAGGCATACATGCTTACCTTCTGTTGCATGTTGTTAAATCTCGGGACAAACCACTTTTTAACCTATATCTGTTCTCAGAAAAATTAAAGTTTTGTATTCTTCCTCTAGTGTGCTGCTTCCAAACTGATGTCACTGCCCCACTAGTGAACACCTTGTTTGAATGTATAACGCCCACTCATCCCGCTCCTGCAATTGCTGATTCTTGTTACATTTGTGACACGTTTTGTAACATATTCTACTCTGTTTAAAGTAATGATGGATAATGACTAGCAGTAGAATCCTCCAATTTTGGACTTGTCAGCCGAAGCGATCACTCCAGAGTCTGAATCCCAGTGGGAACAACACTCACTGTGAAGCAGGTACACCCAGACGACGAGTTCCAGAATGGAAAAATGCGAATCCTAGATTCCACTGCTACCCACTATCCATCGTTACCATAATTAAAGCACAGGTAATATCGAGGTATCCGCACAGGAGCCCATATGCCAATAGACACTAATCAATTCAGTCTAATCAACTACCGTATAATATAAAAAACAATTATACTGTTCTGCTACGTATAAGATATTGATTTGTAATTTCTTTCATATAGGGAGTTATTCCTTACCGAGAATTCAAAAATATTAGCCTCAACATTGAAATGTAACCTTTAATTATTTGACAGTTGAGCTGACTGTTGCCGTCGTAAATCTAAGTGCGCTTGCAAGGTGTCCTTTATTGGCATTTACCCAGCTATCTTCAGATTTCTAGTTCCACTTGTTAAAGGAACATTCCTAATGACTAGTTTAGGTATCCAGAAAAGGTCGGATGAGAAATTCGTTGCTAATGGTTGAACCAAACAGGAGACCAAATAAAAATTGGAAGTTATCAGAAAAGCAAGAGACTTTATCCCAAAAGTGGTCACAAGGTTCAGCAGAGTAGCTACTTCAGTGACTAGGGATGTAATTAGAGGAGAAAAGTTGGTGTAAAGAGCGGTTTATTCATGTTGCGTATACGGAAAACCTCATCTTGAAACGGCAAGAGTTATGAATGAGAATTAATTGCTAAACATCGGATATTCCGGTTGTTAGTGACTGTAATTAATTTGTCATTGCAGAAACCGATCCTTCCTGCAATAGCCTTCTCTGGAACCATTCTCTTTTTGCACCTTTGGGTTTATGAATCTTCAGACAGAGTAATTCTACAGTTGATCATTATTCTCGACAAAAGTAATTAGTGATAGTAAAGTAGTTGCTAACTGCAAAAGTGGTGCAAAATTCCTCTTCAAAAAGTATTGTCAACTGAAGTAAAATGATTTGTCAAGACTATTCACTGTCAAGTAACTTAATTTTTAAGATAACTGTAACTGTTGCAAGCATTAAATGATCATTATTTATGATGCAATGAGTATTGTTGGATAATGTTTTCTTTTATTTTTTAGGACAGAAGATACTTTTTGGTCTAAAAAACGCAGGACTATCGAATTACAATTTACACGGACAAAGTTTTTCATGTACACATCTTTATCCCTGTGTAATAATAAAAATGGTGAAATATGTTAACTTATTACAATTAGTGAAAGGGCAAATTATTGCAGGTGGAGATGATTTGCGCGTAATTTGTGCGTCCTGTAAAACAGATTTCTAATAGGAATAGTTAATTTCGTTTTTTACATCTATACTGTCTAAAAATTAGCACAATATACTACACTGTGCTGAAAAAGACTGTATCAACAAGATCGAAATTAACCGACCCAATTTTAACGAAAACTGTTGTAATCCCTGAATACCAGGATGATGATAGCTTGTGAAATCCTAGATCATTAGACCTTTCTGAAAACAAATCATATAGATTTTGACGTCTGACTAATAAATTCCCGAATCTTTTCATTAGATGCGAGATGTGTATGTCCACTATGTTGATGGTTACGTAGTGAGTAGACAAAACCTACCTCCTAATAAATATAGTGAGAAATCCAACACGAAATATGATAGGGATTTCTGAAATTAGGTAGAATAAGTATAAGCATAATCCGAGGCGTATCTCAGAAGATTCAAGCTGAATTAGCCTTTTCGACAAATTGGAAGCTCACGAAATCTAGTATCGGTTATCGTATATTTCCTCAAGTGACCAAATTAGCCGACAGTACTGATTTACGACTATCTGAAATTCATATAATTGTTGAATCATAAGCTTTCCAGTAAGTCTTCTGATTAACGAAGAATAAGTTTAACCTTTTCTATCGATATACTATAAATCCATGTTTGTATTGCCATTAACACTTTGAAATGAAGCTTTTGAAAATATTTTTGGTGAGATTATTGCCCATGATGACACTAGAAGGTAGAATTTTTGATTGAACTCTTATTAAAGGATTTTATACACACATACATATATGATATCCGCAGTTAGTTGGTCATTTCATCCAATCAATACAATATTCCATGTGGCTGATAATTGAACTGCATCCATC